AGTCAACTCTTCACTATTTCCAGAGGACATGATACTCTATGTAGAAAACATGAAAGACTCCACCCAAAAATTGCTAGAACTAATATGTGAATTCAAAGTCACAGGATTTAAAATCAACGTACAGAAATATGTTGCATTTCTATACAACAATAACGAAGCAGCAGAAAAAGAAATGAAGGAATCAACCCTATTTACAATTGCACCAAAAACCATAAGATACCTAGGAATAAATCTAACCAAAGAGGTAAAAGATCTGTACACTGAAAACTATTGAACGTTTATAAAAGAAATTGAAGAGGACACGAAGAAATGGAAAAGCATTCCATGCTCATATACTGGAAGAACAAACATTGTTAAGATGTCTAGGCAACCAAAGCAATCTACACATTTAATGCAATCCCTATCAAAGTACCACCAGAGTTTTTTGCAGCCCTAGAACAAACAATCCTAAAATTTGTATGGCACCACGAAAGACCCTGAATAGCCAAAGCAATCCGGGAAAAAAAAAAAAAAAAAAGCTGGAGGCATCACGATTCTGGGCTTCCAGCTACATTACGAAGCTGTAATGATCAAGACAGATGGTACTGGCACAAAAACAGACACATAGATCAATGGAACAGAATAGAAAACCCAGAAGTTGGACCCATAACTATATGGCCACCTAATCTCTGACAAAGCAGGAAAGAATATCCAATGGAAAAACAGTCTCTTCAACAAATGGTGTTGGGAAAACTGGACAGCCACATGCAGAAGAATGAAACTGGACCACTTTCTTATGCCATGCACAAAAATTCAAAATGGATGAAAGACCTAAATGTGAGACAGGAAAGCATTAAAATCCTAGAGGAGAACACAGGCAGCAACCTCTTTGACCTTGGCCGTAGCAACTTACTAGACACGTCACTGGAGGCAAGGGAAACAAAAGCAAAAATGAACTGTTGGGACTTTATCAAGATAAAAACCTTCTGCACAGTGAAGGAAATAATGAACAAAACTAAAAGACTAGGGAATGAGAGAAGATATTTGTAAATGACATATCTAATAAAGGGTTAGTATCCAAAATCTATAAAGAACATACCAAACTCAACGTCTCCAAACCAGATAATCCAGTTAAGAAATGGGCAGAAGATATGAATAGACATTTTCCCTAAGAAGACATCCAGATGGCTAACAGACACATGAAACGATGTTCAGCATCACTTATCATCGGGGAAATACAAATCAAAACCACAATGAGATACCACCTCACACATGTCAGAATGGCTAAAATTAACAACACAAGAAACAACAGGTATTGGTGAGGATGGTGAGAAAGGGGAACCCTCTTGCACCTATTGAATGCAAACTGGGGCAGCCATTCTGGAACACAGTATTGAGGTTCCTCAAAAAGTTAAAAGTAGAACTACCCCATGTTCCTGGAATTACACCACTAGGTATTTATCCAAAAGATAAAAAAAATACAGATTTGAAGGGGTACATGCATTCCAATGTTTATAACAGCATCATCAACATTAGCCAAACTATGGAAAGAGCCTAAATGTCCATCGACTGATGTATAAAGTAGATGTGGTATGTGTATACACACACACACACACACACACACATACACACACACAATGGACTGTTACTCAGCCATCAAAAAGAATGAAATCTTGCCACTTGCAATGACATGGATGGAGCTAGACTGTATTATGCTAAGTGAAATAAGTCCATCAGTGAAAGACAAATACCATATGATTTCATTCATATGTGGAACTTAAGAAACAAAACAGGTGAACATTTGGACAGGGGGAAAGAAAAAAAGGTGAGAGGGAAATTAACCATAAGAGACTCTTCAGGCGCCTGGATGGCTCAGTCATTGAGTGCATCTGCCTTCGCTCAAGTCATGATCCCAGGGTCCTGGGATGGAGCCCCGCATCAGGCTCCCCGCTCAGCGGAAAGCCTGCTTCTCCCTCTCCCCCTCTCCCCCTGCTTGTGTTCCTTCTGTCACGTTCTCTCTCTCTGTCAAATAAATAAATAAAATCTTAAAAAAAAGAGAGAGAGACTCTTAACAATAGAGAACAAACTGAGGATAGCTAGAGGGGAGATGGGTGGGAGGATAGGTTAAATGAGTGATGGGTAGTAAGGAGGGCACTTATGATGAGCACTGAGTATTATATGTAAGTGATGAACAACTGAATTCTGTTCCTGAAACCAACATTGCACTGTATGTTAACTAACTAGGATTTAAATAAAAAATTTGAAAAGAAATGTATTGCAAAAAAGAAATGTATGCAAGAATGTCAAATTATCACAGTTAGAAAACAACTCAAAGTTCATGCTCCATTGATGTCAAATCAGAGGCATCTCTGTGCACAATTGATGGCTTCATGATCCAGTCAAGAGTTTGGCCCTAACTGACTCATGGTTATTACCTGTCTTGGCTTGGCTAACCACAAAGGAGAATTTGAGTCACTTATGAGTCATTCATATTGACACGGAGTTTGCAAACAGTCTGGCTTAATTCTCCCAATGCGTTCTTTAATCATTTTCCTCTAGAAGAAAGAAATGGGTCATTTGACTCTTCCAGAGTAAGAATGTCCCAGGCTGCGGCTTTCAGTTTATCATCCAGTGAGCAAAATCGTTAGAGTCTTGGGTATCTCTTGGTTACTAAACTGCCCATGAGTATTCTTTGTAATGAAAAACTCTAGCACACACCAGAAGACACAAGTTAGGTTTAGGGCTCCTTTACTTTCTCATTGACCATTGCCTATTTTTGTTACAGTGCTGTATTTATTTTTTTTTTTAAAGATTTTTTTTTCTTTTTATTTATTTATTTGAGAGAGAGAATGAGATAGAGCATGAGAGGGGGTAGGGTCAGAGGGAGAAGCAGACTCCCCGCTGAACAGAGAGCCCGATGCGGGATTCGATCCCGGGACTCCAGGATCATGACCTGAGCCGAAGGCAGTCGCCCAACCAACTGAGTCACCCAGGCGTCCCTACAGTGCTGTATTTAAAAGTGTGGATAGAGGTTACCTTTTCGTATCTGAAAAGGGGATAGAGAATGTTCAGGGGTGCTGGAAATGTTCTATATATTGATCGGGAGATGGTTACATAGGTGAATGCATATGTAAAAATTAACTGAATGTACACTTAAGATTGGCGTACTTTAATATATGTAAGTTAAACCTTAGTTAAAAAGAAGTAAAAAGGGACGAAAAGTCTCAAATCTCTTGAGCCAGCGCTAGTTAAAAAAATGTATTCTGAGTTAATGAAAGAAGAAACAAAACCTCTGTTTATATACTCTTTTTTTCTCTTGGATATCAATATGACATCTATCTACTCTTTTCTATGGGTATGTGTCATGATCTCTATCTTTACTTAATCTTTGGTAATAAAATTTCAAATTATGGCAGGTGTTTTTGGATAGGACTTTATTGTCCACTTCCATTCACATTTATTTCAGTATGTAACATTACAAAGTTCTTCATTCTTTTAATTAAACTATGTATTTTTGCATGACTTAAGGAATGTTGAAAGCTTCCTAGGCCATATGAATCATGGCTTATAAATAGTACAAGTCTTCACCTCTTGGTTTCCAGTTTATCACGTGACTTCAGTAAGGTAGTTGAGTTGGGTAATGAAGGAGATCAGGAGAAGGACAAAGTGTTTTAATATAAAATGGATGCATTTGCAAATTTAAACCTTGCAGATATTTTAGAAAATATTTGATGGCCTCAAATATCCTATCTTTTATTTTTTAATCTCCCTCCAAAGGGTATTCTACTAATGTGTAGCCAGTCACACATCCAAGTCCCTCATCTAAGGTTTAGGGGAGTTCAATAACTTGTGAGATTTTTTTGCAATTAAACCAAAAGGAAGGGGGCAAGTAGAGATTAAATTTAATCGAGTGCCCCCTATCTGCCAGGCACTGTGTAGACTACTGAATCTCTACAACAACCTTATGAAGATTATTCCATCGAGTCAATGAAGAAAACTAAGATTCAGAAAAGGTACACAACTCTCCTAATGTCACATAGCTGTTATTCACTTGTTTTCTTCCAAGCTCTTTTTGTACTGTCTCTGGTGATGTCCCAAGAGGTGACATATTGGGTTCTGAAGTGATTAAAAGATTCAAAGGGACCTGAGAGAGAAACTCATGAGTCTTGCTCGGAGATAAGGAAACTAGGTCTAGGGGACCCAGTTATTTTGTGGGAGGTTATATTGTGTTCATCGAGGCACCACACACCTCAATTGCCCTTACTTTCTGGAAGGTCCCTCTTCTCTCCCCACCTCTCTACCTCATCCTGCCCCCATAATTCACCACCGACAGAATTAGAATCCTTTGCATGCTCTACTGTGTAGTGGGCAGGGGTAAATGGCCTCTGGAGCCTGGGTTTAGATCGCTGATATACCACTTAGGAGCTGTGTGACATTAGGTAAGTTACTCAATGTCTCTGAGCTTCAGTTTTCTCACTGTAAAATAGCAGAATAATAGTATCTGTCTCATAGAGTGGTTGTGATAATTAAATAAAACATGGAAACCCCTTTTAGAATGGAGTGTGGCATGTAATGGATGTCTCATGAGTATTAGCAATTAGCTTTTGTTATTATAACACACAATACTCAATTTATGGTTGTATGTGTAGAGGCTTACCTCCCCAAAGAGATGGAGGTGATGTGTTGGACATCTTTGTAATTCTCCCTTCAGTGCCAAATTAGTGTCTCATAATTCGAGACACTGAACAAAGGCCTACTGGATTGATTTCACTTTCCTAGTTAATGACCTTCCAAATTTTCCACATTGTCCAAATTTCCCCAGTGAAAGACCTCATCAAGTACAGAATCCACACCTCCCAGACCTTATTCTGCTACTCTTGAGGATCCTGATTATTGCTTTCCAGGCTGGCATTTCCATCCCTGGGGATTTGTCATTGCATTTAGAAATCTCAAAGTAGAGAGGGAGTTGCATATGCCCATGATTCATTTCAAGACTTGGTTATTTCTTTGTTGTTCCTTCAGGGGATTAACATCAAGTATGGACTGACTTTCCGTCCTTGGCATTATGTGGTTGATGCAATCTGGGCTAAGGTAACAAGCACGTAATTCTTCTATGTGCTTTCTACATACAGCTTCCCATTTCTGTTGACCCTGGTGCCTTCAACTACCCTCCTGGGAGCTACCTTGTGGAGAAGTAAGGCCTTTGCTCTTTTTGCTTCCCTTCTACCAAATACTACTATCGTGAAAAGGATGCCTGGGATGCCTGCGTGGCTCAGTCAGTTGAGCATCTGCCTTCGGCTCAGGTCATGATCCCAGGGTCCTGGGATCAAGTCCTGCATCGGGCTCCCTGCTCAGCGGGGAGTCTGCTTTTCCCTCTGCCTGCCACTTCCCCTGCTTGTGTTCACTCTCTCTCTCTCTGACAAATGAATAAATAAAATCCTTTAAAAAAAAAAAAAGGATGCATGTAAGTCCAAGGCTTTGTTTCCTTGGGTTGTGTTGTGGGATACTGGGATTTCCTGATTTCAGGGAAAGTAGCTGTTATTTTTTTGGTTTCCACTTAGAAAATTTAACCTTGGCATTTCAATAGCACTAGACTATTGTTTTTGGAAGGTTGGTATGTAGAATGTTGAGACAGGTTTTCTAAAAATGTGGACTGCAGCTATCTGATCAGACATTAACATTCCATCTTCTTTTGGCAAGTTGGGATTTTTTTTTTTTTAATGATGAACTTCAGCACTGTTGTTTTAAGATTCAAATAGTGCTCCATGTCTCACTTTTGGGAAAATGATGCTTTTATTCTACTGAGACTTTGTAAATTGTTCTTTTCCAGGTAGCTTCTTTCTTTCTTTTTTTTGAAGATTTTATTTATTTATTTGACGAGACAGCGAGAGCAGGAACACAAGCAGGGGGAGTGGGAGAGGGAGAAGCAGACTCCCCGCTGAGGAGGGAGCCCGATGTGGGGCTCGATCCCAGGACCCCGGGATCATGACCTGAGCCGAAGGCAGACGCTTAATGACTAAGCCACCCAGGTGCCCCTGGGTAGCTTCTTTCTTACTAGCAGAACTTGGAGGATAAATATATGTAATTAGAAAGTTTCTTACACTTGTGAAGATTTGGAGGCTTTTATGTTACTCACTGTGAAACTTTTAGCATGTCAAACTCTGGATCAGAAAATATGCAGCTGCTTTTAAATAAGATGAAACTCATCTTAGGAGACTTTGGATGTATAGAATTATAACTAGAAAACTGTGACTTTATTGAGTACTTGATTTTACATCGAGAGATGTTTACTTTAATCTGTATTACATTTCTCCCCCTCTCATCTTTCTCCCTTGTGTCTCAACAGTGTGAAGACTGGTTCATTGTCTCTTGTTGAACCTTCTGTTCCTAGAACCTGTTAATAAAAGTGCCCAATAAATATTTCTTGGACAATAAGTGATGATGCTTAGAAGAACACTACATATTACAGCTAGCATCCAACTTGGAAATGCATTGTGTTCCACGTGGCATTTGTATGCAGAATATATTTTCTCGTGTGAAAGAGTAATGTAGAAAGAATTTGGATTCCAAGGCTGGCTCATAAAAGTGATCTTATTCCATATTGTGGATTCTATTGCTTTTGCTACTCCATAAGCAAACTTTCTGGCTTAGCGAGGGAATCAAATCATCATTTAAAAACTTGTTTGTATGGTGAAGGCAGTTCTTACCCTATGGTGAGCTCCCCACTGAATTCAGGAATGGATTTCCCTCTCTGTACTCTTCCTTCCTGGGTGAGTATCAGCCAAAGGTAGACAAAGAGATGAGACTGCTAAGGGGTAAATATTGTCTTCTCTAGGGCTTTGGGGGAGACTCTGCCCTAACCCCTGGCACTCTAAAAGCACTCCCCTCCCATTAAATTCCCCACTAAATTATGAGGACTTCTAGTTTCTATATGTGACCTTTTCCTTTTAGCCACAATATCCTGTATAATTCATTCAGCCCCCCCGAGGGAAATAGTGAAGGAAAACTCTGGAATTAATTTTGAAGCTACTACAGATGCCCAGGCCTTGATCCAAAACCCGTGGGGCCAGATCTGTTTTGGATACAGAGGGATTTTTGGATTTTAGGAAACACGTATGCTGTGTGTTACAAAATATCCCCAGCTTGTGATTCAATCAGATAAGATTTCTTCAGCTAAACGTGTGAATATTCCCACTGAGTGAGATAAATAGATGTTGCTTTGGGTCTCACATCACTTCACTTCAGGTTCTGCTAGCAAAGTTATAAAAGTTGTGTGGTGTCAGGCTCTTTCTACCTCAGATTCACTGGTAGTAGATTGTGGGCCTGTAGTACCATAGAGATTATGCCTCAGAGAAGAAACCACTGAAGGTTGTCCTAGTCTCAGCATGCTGGATGGGTTCTTGAGCAGCAGGGATCCCACCTAGAGAGAGGAGAATCACCTCCTTGGACCAGAAGGCTGAGAATATCTGTCTCGCTGGTATTTATCAGCACTTCCTGGTTCTGCCAGTTCTTAGGTTTGTTAGCTGTAAATTTCTTATTGGTGGGCCTCTTCACTCATGAAGCCAGGCTTTCTGAGTTGGCTGAAAGAACTGTCATACTTGGAGAGAAGACTTCTTTCCACTTGGGGTGGGGCGATCGGAAGGCACATGGATGGCCTGGAGCCCCACTGGGCATGTTGGCAGAAGCCCCACAGACAGAGGAAAAGGCAAGATGCAAGGGAAAACGCCGGAGGAGAGGGCTAATACTGGGACAGGGTTGGGCCTGAAACCTGATTCAAGGACCCACACCTACACTTTTGATTTTCTCTCTGGCTGGTTCCACTGTTAGGAAATAGTGACCCTCGGCTAAGTATGCCAAACAGTGTGTTTTGTTAGATTTTGAAAGCCTAACAATGAACTGAAGACTTGCCAATTTACTGTTAGCCCCGTGATCCTTATTATCTTACTTCTGTGATTTATTCGTTTGTGATCCTGTGCGTGTGTATGACTAGGGGTCATAGGGTTATCTCAGTATTTAATTGTCTGAGCCTAACCAGCAGCAGAGATATGGTCTGCTCAAGAATATGGTTAGAAAACTGTATAATAATGTAAAGTATCACTGTTCTATTTGATAGTAAACCTTTCTCTTTAAGTACTAGGTAAAACAGGTCTGTATCTAGAAGTTTCTATAAAGCATTCCTTCTTGTTCTGGAAACTGAGTGACAAGGTCTCTCCTGCTGCTTATGACTTTTTAGTCCCTGACCTTGTTCTTTTTCTTGTTTTTTAAACTTTTAGCATTCTAGCATTGATTAATACATAATTTGCTAATAGATTTTTTTTGGATTAGTCTTAGTATTTAAAATATGCTTTAAAAAAAAAGTGAAAAGAGCTTTTGTTAGTGCCAGTTTATTTTCCATGAAGACATGTTTGTGAATTCTGTGTTGCCTGGAGCTATTCTGGGAGGTTCACTAAAGCGAACTTCCTGGAATTTTCCCAAAGCTTCTCACCTCTGCCCTCTGGTCAAGTTAGGCAAACCCGAAGGGGCCTTGTACTTACAACAGGTGATCTTTCCAAATCATCAGGTGATCCAGTCTAAGATCACAGTTGTGAAATTAAGGTAAAATGATCATATCTTGAAATGTGCTGATTACCAAAGTGATTAGAAAATGAACTTCACTAATTATAACTAATAGGCAAGACTAGATTGTACTTAATCAGCGTTGTGTGTTAAGGAATTAATTGTGAGAATAAATGCAAACCATTAAAAAGAATCATTTTTCGTCTGTTTCTTCAGTGTGTACCAGCTTTATGTGATGTTCCTAATTATAAAATACTGTCATTCCATTTTTCCAAAGGCCAAATATCTTCTAACCATAAAGCATATGTAACTCTAAGTTACAAGAACTGTCACCAAGAGCAAAAGGATGATTCTAAGAGCTCACTTTAGGAAAATGGATTTGAGGCTTCTTCCTTAAGGTACTTTGGAGACCCACAGTTAAAAGTTTAAAGCCCTAATCCCAACAGTCTCCCAAATATTCTTTAAGCTAGCTGAAAGCTGTTCCATAGCTAAGAGTTATTAATCTGGCTGGCTCATTCCACATTTGGGGCTCTCCAAATGTAGAAAAACCCATGGCTTTGTTTCATGGGATGTTTCCTGAGATTCAGAAAAACTTGACAGGTCCTATCTGGTTGTATGTTTTGAGTCCTCTCTAGCGATTCCCTCAGAGTCTACCTCTGAGCAAATCACCTCACCAGACTCTCAGTTGGATAAGAGCAGGAATCATAACCATTTCATTCACCTCTGTGTAGCCAGTGTTGAGCCTCTAGAGTGAACACTTGATAAAGGAATGCAGAAGTTGAACGAATCTATCAAAAGCTTGAATACCTCTGGTTACAGGGAACTCATTATCATTCACAGCAGCCCAGTTCATCCTTGGGAATTCTGATCGTTCCAGGTTCTCTTTTACGATGATTGGAATGTCATCTCTTCTCTCTTAGTTGTTCCTTTTTAGCCCTTTGGGCCATATACACTGACTCTACCACATGACAAACCTTTAAATATCTGAGTTGACCCTCCAATGCCCTATTCTCCCCACCTGGCTTCTGAGCTTTGCTTCTGCAGACTAATAGCCCTGGTTCTTGCACAGCCGACAGAGATCTGCATGTTCACTCATGCTCTCAGATCTCTGAGTACGCTCCAGATTATCACCTTTCCATAGAACCCACGATGGTTCAGGGAAGGCCTGAGAGACATAGGATTGTTACCTATTTTAAAGTCTACTTAACGCTATTTGATATCAAATTAACTTTTTAATTTTCTGGAGGAAGCAATTTTTTCAGCTTTTCAGAGAAAACTTCTCTTTTAGTCCTAGTAAAACCCTGCCTCACTGGAAGGCAAATGAAATGGAAGGCTATTATTATCTTGGGGACAGGCTTACCTGCTAATGGTTCATCTGTTGTGTCTTGTTATCTAAGTTGACTTTCTTAGATTCAAGACAGTTTGACTCTCTGTGTAGATTAAACGTGGATAGTTAGATGCAGGGTCCCTCCCTGGGTGACTGATCTCTGCCAGGAATGTCTCCTCCCTCTCTGTCAAGCCAATCATCGGGGCTACCAAGTCTGATTCTGGGAAACTCTGATTTTCCTATATAGCTGCCTGATCTTGAAGGCAGAGCTTTGAAGATTTTGAAAGGTGGCTGCTAAATAAGAATTTACTGTCTATTTTTTCATAGGGCTAAAAGTACAACTTAGCAAAAAAGAATTTACTGATTTTCATGAACTTTAATATTTATGGAAGGGACCATTAAAAAAAACTATTCACGCATATGCTAACATGCAGGAATTTTTATTAGAAATCATCTGTTAGTGAGATACCATCTTATATCCGGGTAATCGGAGAAATGAAATTGTCAAAGAAAACAATTGGCTGCAGATATTTGAACGCTTTGAAATTCCAGTCAGTTTCTAATTGTTTGGGGGAGATGAGAGTGATGGAAAGGGGGAAAGCGGAGGAGGCTGATGGGTGAAAGCTACGTGTTATTCCATTGTTTGGATATACCAAACTTAGGGCATATCTAGTTCTAAGGCACTTGGTCCTTTCTTGTCTTTTACTACTATAAAAAGAGGTGGAATAAATATTTTAATAAAAAAAGAAAGAAAGAAAGAAAGAAGTAGAAGGAAAATGATGAACCCGTGATAAAAGAAAAAGATACAGAGAAAGTAGAAAGTCTTAGCGATTCCAAGCAGCCGCAGAAACCTAAACTGGTCTCGCGCATGGCATGCGCTTTGAGTCCTGCCCTGTAATGATGCATTTTGTAACTCACTGGTCAAAATTAAATAATTCTTATGTAACAGAAATATATTCCAGGGGGGAAAAAAAGATACCTCTTCCACTTTATTTTTCAAATATATTCTACTTGATTTGTGGTGGTTACCGACTCCCAAAAGAGTTCAGGCAGCAAGTAAATCCTTCCAGTCTTCCATGAGATAAATTCTTACTAAGCATTTGCAGGAGAGAAAAGGATGACACGAGGTCCCCCCTGTTTAGGGTTTATTTCTCAGGGTTGTCCCTGTGACCTTTACATCTGGGCTACAGGGGCACCTGGGCTGGTAAGTGTTTCATGAACTCTGTTCTTGGTGATAAACTGTTTCAACATCTGTACATCTGTGAGGATTCTTTCTTGAATACCACAGGTGGAAGGTAAAGGTCAGAGACCTTTGCACTTCATCTCTCTGTCCTTTTATCTCTCCTGCGAAAGACACACCAATTCCAGGAAAGCACTAAGGGGGGTGGGATGCCTTCACCTGGAGGACTAGAGAGTGGAAGGCGAGGATGGTGGTAGGAACTAGGAGTGAAGCTAGAAAATCCTGGGATCACTTCAAAGTGATCAGGCCTAACTGACCCTAAGGCTATTCCTTGAACCAGTCCAGCTTTTCCCAGGTCATGGATATGGGTAGACTTTAGATCTAGGAGCCAAACCTTATGGTGTCTCCTTGGCCTTGAATCCCTGCTAACCCTTCCAGAGCTTCTTAGTCCTCTTTGTCTTTCCCTCAAGAATCTGTGTTTCATTGGACGGTGGTTTTGAGGTCCTGGTTTTCCACCCCTCTGCAGAATAGAGTTA